TTGAGAGCACCAGTCAGATCTGGGAAAGACCAGTCCCATGGAGGGATTGGACCACATTCTTCTCCAGACTGGATCCTGTCATGTTTGAGGCCAGACCTGGCCCAGAGCAGACAGGGCGTAAAGGTTGATTGGCTGGCTGATTGAACTTGGACCCATTTTCTCTAAGCCCTCAGGATACTCTTCTTAGCAGAAATATCTTTTGGGAAATTTGGGAGTAAGTAGAGAAAGTTTACTGGGGCTAAGGTTATTGAAATAAAATGAAGATTTTAGGACAGATAGATATAGTCTCTCTAGGAAGTTTCTGGAGTGGCCTGGGAGGAACTGATATAGGAAATGGGTGGGTTTTTGAAAGGCATGTGCTGTTTAGAGGGAGGATTAAAGTCTTGGTCTAACATCTGTTCTCCCACATCTCAGCCTGAAAGACAGGGCAGGATAAAGGAGGATCCACAAAACAGGTTTTGTGGGTATAGGCTGGCCTGGTGTTTGTTCCAGGCTCCATGGATCAGTGAGAAGGATCCGGAACAGGGGTGACACCTCATGTCTGTTCAGAAGCTCTGAGGTGGCCAGCAGGCTCAGGCCAGGTACTCTTATGGGAAGGATCCTGTTTAGCTGTTACTAGATTTAGGCTATGAAGTAACAGTCCTATATTTCCACAGTTGTAGAATCTTCAGTTAACTGACTTGGCCATAGTCACATAGCTTTTCAGTGGAGGACCAGGATCCTAGCCCAGCTCTTCACATATGTAGCAAGGAATGATGTTTCTAGAAGCCAGTACCCTGCCAGGATTAATGCCCATGGACTGCAGCTGGGTGCTGAGCCCCCCTCATGCCAGCCATATAGCCAGCCCTGCTAACAGCCACACTCAGCCCTGCCACTGGGCCTCTCCAGGCTTCCTTTTGAGTAGTGATTCTCTCTGGGTTGAGGGTCCCTGTCCTTCACCATTCCTCCACCTCATCCTGAAGTTTGTTTCCAGGACTCTGATCTCTTCCATGAGCTTCCCTATTTCTATTATTATATATGTTCCTCAAGTTTATGTCTTTAGCCCAGGTCTCAGCTGAACTCCAGACCTGCTTACTCCCATTATGCCCTCTGTCAGCATGTTCAGACTGTAAATCCAAGGAAGCCTGCTGGGTGTGGTAGCCTATACCTGTGATCCCAGCACTTTGGGGTCTGAAGAGGATGTATTTTTAAATTTGAGGACAGCTGGGCCTACTTAATAAGACCATTTCAAAAACAAAACAAATGATTCAAACAATCTATAACCCAACCCCCAATCTTCCTATGTAATTCTGACATATTTTACTTTCCATTGCCATTATCCATATTATCTGTAACTGGGGCTACTATTCTACCATCAGTATTCACATTGGCTTTTTTTTTTTTTTTTTTTTTTTTAAGATTATCTTAATGTGTCTGAGTGACCGTTGGAGGCTAGAGAAATCCAACCATAGGACATGGGCACTGCAAACTGAATGAGGTCCTCTGCAAGAGCAAGTATGCACTCTTAACAGCTGAACCATCTCTCCAGCCCCACAATGGCTCTCTAAGTCTCCAGTGTTTCAGCAGTTTCCCAAATTAAAATTCCCTTTTATGTTTTGAGATAACCTTGCTCTGCTTGCCTGGAACTATGTAGCCTTACTGGCTTGGAAGTTAGGACAACCTTCTTGCCTCACCTTCTAGAGTGCTGGGATTATAGGCATGCACCACTATGCCCTATTTATAGGTGCTGGGAATCAAACTCTGGGTTTTGTGCATGCTAGCATTCTACCAACTGTGGTACATCTCCAGCTATTATTATTATTGGGACAGGGTCTTGTTATTGAGTTTAAGCTGGCTTTAACTCCTGATTCTCTTGAGTACTGGAGCTGCAGATGTGCCACCATGCCTGGTTGCCCCTTCAGTTCTTGATGCAGATGTTCATGTACAGGAGGTCTTCCCTACTCGAGTATCCTGATGTACACTGCTAGAGGTCTATATACCTTTCTTCCATGAGAGTCATCCCAATGTAACTGGCAGTTATTTGTTAGAGACTAGATTGGCCAGATAGTCCCTACATATGAGGGCTAAGAAATGGATCCCTTCCTTTCTGCTTTCTCTGCATTTTCCTTGAGACTCAGGTTACTCTAAGCTAGGCCACCTCACCAACCAAGACAGACTCTGCCTTCTTACATAGGCAGACACTCTAGACACACTGCAGTCTAAGAGTATAGGGTTGAAGCAAGCAAAGAGTGGAAAGGCCACACCTAAATCATGAAGCCAGAGTAAGCTCATAAAACCAACAGTAGGAGCAGGGAGTGCATGGCAAGGTGGCTTTAGGAAGGTATGTGTCGGGTTCTGAAATGCGGGGAGGGAAAAAGGGGATCCTCAGAGCCAGCTGATAATCCGTTTTCCCTCGGGGCTGAGCGGGATGGTGAGTGCGAGGCTCAAAAGAAACAGAGCCGGTGCCGAGTCAGAGCAGGAACACACTTTATTGCAGCAGGAGCTGATATTTAAAGGCAGAAACCACAGCGGGAAACTGTGCTCATGATTGACAGGCATCTTCTGTGTAATTGACCTATTGGTCGAGGGGTCACACCCACCGTGGGCCAGGAATGAGGAAGGGCCCGACAGAGCCAATCCTGTACAGGTGATCGGCCTTTTCGTCCCTCCCCTCCAACCTCTGCCAGTCGCCATCTTGGCGAGTGATCGAAAGTGACCAGACAGGCGGGCCGACTCTAGGTCAGGCTACGGAAGTGCCTTGGAACTCATAGGCCCAAGGTGCCGCTGTACCAAGCAGCCCCAACATCTCCCCCTTTATTATATATATATGTGTGTGTGTGTGTGTGTGTGTGTGTGTGTGTGTGTTGCACATATGTGAGTGCACCTGTGTCATGCAACACTGCAGAGGTCAGAAGAGGGCTTCGGGTTCCTCTGGAACTGGAGTTAAGGATGGTTTGTTGCCTCCATGTGGGTGCTGGGACATCTTTGGGTAACCATGATCGACCCCATGGCCGCTGTCTTAGGTACATCAGCCTGGGAGGGATCATCTTACCCATCATTGGACTCGAGACTCCTGAGGGGCAGGGCATCCTGAAAGAGTTCCAAGAAGGGAGGCTCATGAGGTTCAATAGGGGAACAGGCCAATCTTTGATAATGTATCTCAACTTGGTTGACATGAAACGCCTCAATTCTTTCCCTGATGAATGAGGACAATTTGTTAAGGACACATGGGCCTAGGGTTAGGAAGGTCATTAACGTTAGAAGTGGTCCCATCAATGGGAGAAGCCAGGGCACCAGGGTGGGCCCTAACCCAAATAGCATTTCTCGGCTTTTAAACCGGTCTCTTAATTCTTTTTGGAGATCCTTAAGAGATTTGACATTGGTCTCTACCAGATTAGACTAATTTACATAGAAACAACACTCCTCCCCCAGCAAGACGCAGGTGCCCCCTTGTTCAGCTGTTAGTAAGTCCAACGCCCTCCGATTCTGGAGTACCACCCCCGTCAGTGAGTTCATCTGTTTCTGGAGTGACTCGAGGCTGGAGGCTGTAGAGGCCATCACCCTCTCCAGTTTATCTGCGAAGTCTGCTGCCAGGTGGGAGGTCTGGACCATAGATGCCACCGAGGTTCCTCCTGCTGCAGCGGAGAAAGCCAGACCCAATCCCACAAGGAGAGGGACAAAAACGGCTCTTTGGGGGCGAGGTGCCACCAGTGCTGCAGCCTTGTATTTTTCATAGAGATAAACCTGGGGAGTAACCATGACCGGAAGGCAGATAGAGGCAGATGTTTGGTTTGAACATTGGGTCAGTCTTCCATCGCACCAGAGGAGACTGGGTGGAGGGGCACAGGTTGCTTCAGAAAGAGTGACATTGTTTACACATTTTTTCAGGTCTATCTTAGGGGGGGTTGGATTAGCCTGGATAGGGCTGATGAGACAACAGGGAAATGTCTCCATTTGTTGGAACAGGGAGACGTTTTCAAGGGGGGGCCTGATAGAGGCTGGCACGGGAGCGGGGCCAAGACTTGTGTTGATAGGGACAGCTGCCAGCAAGGAGCGAGTGGGGGATGCACAAAAGAAGCAATCTGAAGCATTAGGATGTGTGGTGAGGGTAGGAGGTCAACTACATATTGGATGTATTGAGGCCAGGTAATAACCTCCCTGAGTTTTTTTATCTGTTTTCTTTTCCTGGGATAGGATGTCATGATCTACTATAACCCCTCTATCGGGGAGTGTCAGGGCCCGGGCTATTAGCCAGGTGTCGGAAGGGGTACTGGGGAGGCTGAGGCCACTGTAATGATAATATTTACCCTGTACTCCCAAGTGCCACCTCTCGTCCCAGGGGTCAGGCACAACAAACTGGGGTTTTTGATGACCCCAAGCATCTTTTAAGAAGAGATGATCTCCTGAAGTATCTGGGACCTGGCCCTCTTCCATCTTGCATCCCCAGGTACGGCACCCTCCATATATATCGGCCTCCACTAAGCAACTTGGGTTGATGTTTCTATAGGGAAAACACATATAATCTGCAAGGTGATACTGAAGATTAGGCAATTCAATAATTACCACCGATCGGCACCCTTTAAGGGGGCAATCTCCTGTCCCCAGGACATTTCCCTCCTTATTTGTAATGGTGAATCTCCAGAACATGATGCTACTTCTGTCTCCCTCTACCTCTGGGATAGCCAGAGGGATAGGCTCCAATACACCATCTTGGTCAGGATTGGGAACATTTTTCCACCTGTAACGAAAGAATAGAGTCTCCCTCAGGGGTTTTGTACTCCTGGGGAAAAGGATTATTTATGTTTTTTGTGGATGAGTTTTCTTTAGCTTCGCTGGTTTGGGGAATATATTTGATATCTCTCACCAGGACCCATAAGGGCCTCTTTTCATCATGAGGGAATACACACCCAAACCCTCTTCCCACTGTAAGAAGTGGGTCTGGTCCTCTCCATGCTCCAGTGAGTGGGTCTCTCCATCTGACCAAAATGGAACTGTAGCTGGTAGATGAGGACCAATGTTTTTGGAAGGGAGACAAATATTTGTCTTCTTTGGAAAAATTTAGAATATTTAAGGTAAATAAGGCCTTTTTTAGTTGATCATGAGGAGGCAGGGACTCCCCATTTTGTTTTTGTAATTGACGTTTTAAAGTTTGGTTGGCTCTCTCCACAATGGCTTGCCCCTGAGGATTGTAGGGGATGCCTGTGGAGTGTTGGATTTTTCATGTTTGGAGGAATTTAGTAAATGGCTTGCTTGTGAAGCAGGGGCCATTGTCTGTCTTGATTTGATTGGGTAACCCAAGGGTGGCAAAGCACTATAATATATGACTAATTGCATGTCTGGATTTTTCTCCAGCATGGGCAGTTGCCCAGCAGGCATGTGAAAAAGAATCGACAGACAGGAAGATATACTTTAATTTTCCAAAGGGGGCATAATGTGTGACATCGGTTTGCCGCAAATGGTTGGGTTGAAGGCCTTGTGGGTTGACTCCCGCATTTTGGAGTGGAGGAACTTGAAGGGCTGACAGGATCGGCATGTGTGGACAATTTTTTTTAAGTCTTTAACCACCACTTGAGGAAATTTTTGTCTAAGTCCCCTCCAGTTGACATGTGTTAATTGGTGAAATTGTGTAGCCTCAGAGATTGTATAGTCCTGGCAAGAAGAGGCCAGTTGGTCGGCCATCTTATTTCCCTCAGATAGATATCCTGGCATATTTTGATGGCCTCTAAGATGTTGGAGGTATATTGGATTTAATCTGAGTTTAAGTAGAGTGTGGGCCTGAATCATTAGAGGGGATATAGGGTTGGAGTCTAACCTAATGTGAGCGTCCACTAGGTGGGGTAGCAGATTAACCACATATAGGCTGGCTGAAAATAGATTGAAGGGTTCAGATATGGAATCAAACGCCATGACAACGGCAAAGAGCTCTTTAAATTGTGGTGATCCCTCAACCTGGTGGGAGACTGATTTAATGGGTACAGGAGTTTGCCCGTTTTAGTGGGGGATAGATGACCAGAGAGGTTCCCAGACGCCCTCCATCAGTGAACACAGTTAAGGATTTAGAATTGGGTTGAGAAAGAAAAACTCTAGGGGGCTCCCACTCCAACCTCGAGAAGGAGCGCATCCACTTGTAAGGGCCATAGTGGCAGTCAATTTTGCCAAAAAATCCCTCCAGAGCCAGCGCAATTCTGTCATTGTTTCTATGAAGCCATGTAAAAATCTGTCAATCTATAAGGGGTAATAATGGTATGAGGCTCAATGCCAAACAATCAGACTGCTGTGTCCCTACCCTTGATAATGCAATAGCGATTTGGTTGACCATGGAATAAACTCGAGGCGTTCCACCCATGGATAAGTGGATCCATTGTAATGGCTCGCCCTCTTGTGCCAAGAGAGCGGTGCATAGTGTGCTTCCAATGAAAAGACAAAGAGATATGGGGGCATTAGGATCAAATCTCTTTAGGGTGGCCTCATTTATGGGTTGTTGGATTTTAGCCAGAATTTGTAGGCACTGGGGTGGTAACTTTACCCTGGAGGTTAAGTCAAGGCCTTGCAAGAGGTCAAATAAGGGAATTAATTCCTCAGTAGATATAGGAATCCAAGGTCTAAGCCAATTGATCTCTCCAAGTAGCTTTTGAAGCTGAGGGAGGTTATAAGAATCCAGGGTCTAAGCCAATTGATCTCTCCAAGTAGCTTTTGAAGCTGAGGAAGGTTGAAGGTATCCTGAGTGGCAAGTTGCTAGGTGACACAGTATCAAGTGAGAGAGAGGCCCCAATATCTTTAGTGGCAGAACAGTTTGGATTTTGTCCGGGGCTATGTTGAAATTATGGTCTTGTAGCAGGGCTATACATTCGGAAATTAGACCATGAAGGTCATTGGGATCCAGGCTCCCCAAAATGATATCATCCATGTAAATATAAAATAGAACATCTGGCCTCTTGATCATAGAGGCAAAGATATGGCTCAAATAATACTGGCAGATGGCAGGGCTGTTAGCCATGCCTTGCGGTAAAACGGACCATTCAAACCTTAAGTCTGGCCCTCTGAAGTTTAATGAGGGCACTGAGAAGGCAAATTTTTCTGTATCTTTTGGATGTAGAGGTATTGAGAAGAAACAGTATCTATGGTGGCCAAGGTAAAGGAAGCAGGAATTGTGGGGATCCAGGGCATCCCTCTCTGGGGGGTGCCCATAGGGGCCATTCTCTTGTTGATTTCCCTTAAGTCCTGGAGGAGCCTCCAGGTCCCATTACTCTTTTTTATGACAAAGACAGGGGAATTCCAGGGGCTGGTAGAGGGCTTAATGTGTCCAAGATCTATTTGACCCTGAACCAATTGATGGAGCTGTTGTAGTTTATTAGAGGGTAGAGGCCACTGCTCAACCCATATAGGGTCTCCCGAGATCCATGTAATTGGGAATGGTGGGGGTGGAGCAGTGGCCTTTAGGATTGGGGGTGCACCCAGGGGTGTCTGTTTCTAAGGTGTTCAAAGTAGGGGTCATCCCTACAATTAGAGTGAGTGGCCCTCTCATCCCCAAATTGTTGTTTGACCTCCTCAAGACCAAGGAGGTCGTTGTAAAAGGCCTTGTGATCCATAGTGATGAAGGCCTCGGCCTCCCCCAGAATATCCTGCCCTAAGAGATTAGCCGTTAGTCCTGAGACAACCAACGGGATGATTTCTCCACGGCATCCATTGGGATCCACCCAAGGTAGCCAAGTGGCTGTCTCCCAAGAGGTGGATTGGCCTCCCACCCCAAGGAGGGGGGGCAGGGACCAACTTCCAAGAAGGGGGAACCTCTTCCTTTCTAATCACTGTACGATCCGCCCCAGTATCAATGAGAAATTTGAAGGTTTTATTTCCAATGGTTAGAGTCATTTTGGGCCTCAGCCCGGGGACGAGAGGAACTGTCCAATGGGCCTATACACTTTTCCTCCCCTTATTTAACGGGGCTGGGGGGCGCCCCTCAAGGAGTTTAAAGGCTCTCCTCGTATGTTATACTTTGATCTGCAATCTTTGGCCCAATGAAATCCCTTTTTACACTTTGGACACGGGGTACGGGGAGCATCCTGGGCTGGTTTAGGGCTGTCTCTGGGACTCAGGTTACGGCATTGTTGGCAGAAATGCCCCATCTGGCCGCAATTGAAGCAGCGTCCCTTTTCTTGTGGGGTAATGGGCTCCTCCTTGAGGAAGGCATCCCTGAGTGCCTGTGTTTGGGCCTGAAGGATGGCTGACATGGCCTGGGTCTGCCCTACCTTGGTCCCAACATCTTTGGAGGCCACTATCCACTGGCTGATGGAACATTCCCTAAGCCCGGCACACGCCATACGGTGGTCGGCATCCATGCTGTCCCATATGAGCATCTTTGCAAATTGATCTCGCAATGGCCCCGGGGGGGAGCTTTCTCTTAAGGCTTTTTTCAACTCTATCCACACACTCGTGAAGGGGTTCACCCACCTTTTGGTATATCCCGCAGACGGCAGGTTCAGTGGGACCAGAGTCTAGCTTCTGCCATGCCAACAGGCCTAGGGCTCTGACCTGATCAGGATATGGGGGGGAGAATGGCGGCCTGTTGGGCCCCAGTAGCATAAGTGTCAGTACTTCCTGTTAGCATACTGAAGGTAATAGGTACTGGAGGATTTGCTGCCCGGTTAGTCTCTGCCTGTTGACGGCACTCCTCTTTATATAGAGCTGACCATTTGATAAAGAGGGGACTAGGGAGGACAGCCCTAGCAAGATCCGTCCAATCCTGGGCGGTGCATGGCTGGTAGACCAAACCCTGCAACAGAGTTTCTACCCAGGGGGATCCGGGGCCATCTTCGGCGACAGCCTTCTTCAACTCCTTAAGGTCGGAGGCCTCCCAGGGATACCAGATGGCTGGGCGTTGCCCCCCTGGGTTGACATTGATGGGATATAATTGAGGTTCCCTAAGTGGGTACTCTTCCTCATTGATATAATCAGGCGGTGCTGTCGCCCCCGGGGAGGAATTTTGATTATCCCCATCTCCCCTTTGACAGGGGGTTTAGAGGGCCAGGGGGCTGCCCCAAAGGGATCTAGGGAGGGGTAGAGATTCCCCCTAGGAGCTGGCGGGCTCTTTTTTTGTGAGGCCTCTAGTGAATCTTTTTCCTTTCATATGGTTTCCTTATTGGGGCGGGGGGTAGCTAGCTTGGGAGGTTCAGAGCAGCTCCCTCTCCTGTTGGGGGGCCGAGGGGGAAAACAGCCTTTAAGGGCTGAGATTGTGGGGAGAGCCCCCAGGGGTGGGATCTTACCCTTCTCTACCTGGGACCTCTTAACGAGGTTTTCCACTCTGTCCCAGGTCTCCCAGTCAAAGAGATTACTAGCAGCAACCCAGGGTGCTATCTCATTAATGTAATCCCAGGCCTGGGTCACTTGCTGATCTGACAGGCTGAGACCACGACTCTTAAGCAGCAGCCTTAACGCCTCGAGAAGAATCTTAGAATTGGCCTTCCCCATATCTTATGGGGGTCACTCACCCGCAGACCGATTGGCCCGTCAGTGGAGAATTAGCGAAGGATCAGGTCGGGGTCACCAAATGTCGGGTTCCGGAATGCGGGGAGGGAAAAGGGGATCCTCAGAGCCAGCTGATAATCCGTTTTCCCTTGGGGCTGAGCGGGAAGGTGAGTGCGCGGCTCAAAAGACACACACAAAGCCGGGTGCCGAGTCAGAGAGGAACACACTTTATTGCAGCGGGAGCTGATATTTAAAGGCAGAAACCACAGGCGGGAAACTGCGCTCATGATTGACAGGCACCTTCTGTGTAACTGACCTATTGGTCGAGGTGTCACACCCACCGTGGGCCAGGAATGAGGAAGGGCCCGTGTACAGGTGATCGGCCTTTTCGTCCCTCCCCTCCAACCTCTGCCAGTCGCCATCTTGGCGAGTGATCGAAAGTGTCCAGACAGGCGGGCCAACTCTAGGTCAGGCTACGGAAGTGCCTCGGAACTCATAGGCCCAAGGTGCCACTGTATCAAGCAGCCCCAACAGGTATGCACTGGTCAGAAGTGGACTGAAATCAGCTTGGGGTCCCAGCTCCTCAGTCATCAGGCACAGGCCTCATTGCTTTGCAAATCTGTTTCTGCATTCTGTCAGGCCAGGACTCCTGGTTCACCTGTCAGCATCCTTCTGTTGATCCATGCAAACTACCATCCTTATACACAAAGGAGAGATTGCTGAAAAGCTGGTGCTCAAGCAAATCATAGAAAAGGAGGAAAACTTTTTGAGGCAGGGTCTCCATTGGTAGTCTAGGCTGGCCTGGGACTCATGTCAATCTTCCTCCTTCAGCATCCATAGTGCAAGGACTGTAGGCATGAGCCACTATGTATGGCTCAGTTGTGGGAAACTCTGAATTGTTTTACATCTTACACATGGCACTTAAGTCACTGGCAGAGATGGAAAGCACAGACACATGTAGCTCACACAGGACTTTCCTGTTCCTCATCTGTTTCCTTTATAGTATTATGTGCTCACTCCAGAGCCCCTACAGTTGAGGATGGTTTAACAGCAAAGTTATTTGTTTTTAAACTTGTAAATAAGGCTTGGAAAAAAGTTGTCATGATACAGTCAAGGGTCTAACTGCCAAAGGCCCACTGTAATTACTGAAGGTCCTTCCCAAGAACAGGGTCACTGATGACCCGTACTGCCCCCCTAAGCTCTAAGTCTACCAAGCATGTAGCTTGGCAAACTGAGCACAGGCTGGATTTTAAATCGACCCCATTTTCCTCCCTTAGTTGGTGCTTCTCTTCTGCCTGGTGACTACACCTGTTGGCTCTGCCTTTTATAAATACATAGTTATTTTAAATATAAACCAGAGATAAAGCATTACCACAAGTCTTATTTGAAACAGTATCAATTAATACTTTCACTCACAACAGGTAATGAATGTTAAAATATAGCCTAGATTATATAGATTAAACAAACATATATTCTATTACTTTTCTAGAAAAATGATTGTTGCATTGGCAAATCAAATGGAAAAAGTGAATAAGCAGATCTGAGATTACCTGAAAATGTTTAGTTCCTTATAAAGATTCCATCCAGTCTATATGCTTGTCTATCTGCAACAAATGTGAAGCTAGCAAATGCTATGTGAGCTTGAACGGGCTGTATTAGTTACTCTGTGACTTAGAAATATAGAGTCTGGAAATGCCTAATAGCAAACAATGCCTAATCAGTGCATTGAACAGAAGTTGACAAGTTTCTATTTTTCAAAATAGACTTACTCATTTGTATGAATAAACTAGCTCTAAAAAGAAGAGACACACAGAAACCAGGACTAATAGTGGATAGGATGAGCTTTTCCTTTTGTTGTTACCGTTACCACATTTATTTTGTGTGTATGTGTTCTTGTGGAGGTCGGGGGGGACAACTTTCAGGAGTTGGTTCCCTGTTTCCACCAAGTGGGTCTCAGGGATGGACTCAGGTTGTCAGGGTTGATGGCAAGTACCTTCACCTACTGAGTCATGTCTCTGGCCTGTTTTTCCTTTTAAAAGACAAAAAATTGTACTGGGACATAGCAGCTTGAGCGCTACTGTTGGGGGACCCTGCTGCTAAGGCTGTAGTCCTCCATGTCCAGATAGCTCTAAGGGGCTCAGTGCTATATGGAAGGACTCCCTTTCTCAGCAGGGGCCTCCTGCTCTCTGCCTGACTTATCTGGAAAGTGACACCAAGCAAGGATGCCTGACCTTATTTGGAACATGACCTTTGGCATAGTTACCTGCAATAAAACCCCCAGGTTTTTTCTATATGATAATTAGGCATTCCCCTATAGTCAGATGATAGGATCCCCCTGCCACATGTAAATAAAGCATACTATGAGCACATATCAGCTGAGACTTTGGCTGCTGTCTCCACACTATATTTTCCCTAACCCCCACTGAATAAATGGAGCTCTATCACTGAGTCTGGAGCTGTATCACTGAATCTGCCTCCCCAGAAGGGCTTTCTTCCATTAGTGCTCACTGGCCATCCTGATCCTGTTCATCACTTCTGCTCCCTTTGTTCTTGTGGACTGATGGCCAACAACCCATGAGGGGAAGGAGAGACCCCCACAGCTGGTGCCCAAACGTGAGGCTCCTGGAATGCGCAGTTTGTGAGTACCCCTCTCTCCAAGAAGGTAGCGGCAGCTTTGCATTAGCCATTCCATCCTTGAGGATTGACAATCTCTCCTTTTCCCTCCTTTTATTTTCAGTCTGAGTCTTCGTGTGGGACCATTAAAGACGAAGGAGCAATTGAGGCTTTCTAATCAGGGCTACCCCCTGATGTTAGCCAAAGGCTTTTAGCCCTCTTAAAGGACCCAGGCACAGGTGTAGACAAAAGCCCCTATCTATACATCTTTCTAATGCAAAAACCCGGTAATGCAACGACCAGTTAATTGCTCTTAGAGCCGGTCGCTGGATCTCTTAAATTTGTGGGCAGGCTTGTGCTGTGGACTAGGTGGAATCCCCTGAGGTTTTTGATCCTGGGCATGTTCCCCTAGGAATCAGGGTTTCACCCCCTTTCCTTTTCTATCTTGAACACCCCTAAAAACATAACATCCCCACAGTTCTAAGGGATTTTCACACAAGCTCTGAATTCGACTTCTAAAATAACAAACTTCCTTTATCTGTTTTGTTTTCTTGCCCGGGGGCACTCAAGCTCAAGCTAAACCAGTTAGATGAGAATTTAAATTAATTTGCCTCAGGACAAAAAGGCACTCCAATTCCAAGTGCCCCATAATGTAAACAAAAACAAAGGATTTAAAGCAGCAGGTGGCCGTGGAGCATTTTAAAGAATTTAAGGCGCTTGTGTCATAGACAAATGGAAAAAAGATTTTAAAAGCCATTTTTTTCTGTAAACTTTTTCTTCGGGAAGGGACTCATCAGAGAGGACCACCCCACGTGGAGGGCTTTCTTCTGTAGTTCTCCATGCCCCTGCAGGCTTCCCCTTGGGGGAACATGACTTCATGCTGTGCACCTGGAAGGTGGCTGGCTCGCACTGAGGGCGCGCATACACAGTGCTGGTCATGGCCTTTTCTTCCCCCTCTGGGGGCATGCCACAGCAGCAGCTACAGCAGCCCACAGGAGGCAAGCTACCACCAGCACATAGTTACAATTTTTTTCCAATCCAGACTAACAGCCCTCTTCAAAGGATTTCACCATGTGCGTTAACAGTCTTGCCTTAGTTTAAAAATAATATATGGATAAACAATTTTAAAAACTTTTAGGCTAAAGAAAAACAAATGCCTTTTTGTATTAATTATATTGGTAAATTGTCACGTGCTGTTTGATCTCACTGAGACACTGACTCTGGAGATGGGATTGCCCCCCCCCTCAAAGTCAAGCCTATTATATCAAGATATGTTCTCCAAAACCTCAGGCTCAGGCTGGCCCCCTGACCCTGTGACAATTAAAGGAGAGCAACAAACAGCCTAAGAGTAAATACAGTGTACAGTTAAAAACAGCTAAGGTGTAAACTAATTGCAACAGAGGGTATTACTGTCTATGGTAAAAGTAGTTAATGGGATTCTCTATTTGGTCACTAACACAGACTAATGTAAAATGTATGGTAAATACA